TATATAAGTTATATAAGTTTAATTTGAATCAACTTAATGAATCAAAGATGTTTTTCTGTTTACGCTGCGTTCACTCTGGATTAGCATTTAGGGCTAATCCTCCATTCACTGTAATGACAGTGTGTGTTGGCTCATATTGCCCCCTTTGTGAGGACCAGCTTCAGTTTTAACCATCATGAACCATCATAGGAAGGTTCAGACTATTAAATCAATAATCTACAATCAATAAACAGTATATAAACTAGAGCTATGTGAACTGTTCATGTGTAATATTAATCTTTGATATTATGATAAAGACATTAACTTATCTGTTTTATTATTAATTAACTTAATAATCTTTTTATAATTTATATATTATATTATAATTGATACTAGATATTACTATATATATTTATATAATAGCATTATTTGCTCTTTAAACTCAAATAGACTTTATCAAGACTGATTATTTCCATTAGTATAAATCATTTTTTTAATGATCTATTTGATATTTTTCAGTTATGTTAAAGTGAAAAAATTTAACAAAAGTGATTCAGGCTCTTTGGAAGAAAAAAACAGAAAAACATGAATCAGGTAAAAAATAAAGAATTAAACACAAAAACAACAATGAGAAAATGAGAAGGGAGGGGCTGTGGGGTGAGGAGGTCATCTCCATGGTAACAGAACAACAGAGCACGAGAGAGGAAGAGGAGCAAAAGACTGAGAGAAGCAGAAGAAGAAGAAAAAAGAAAGAATAAAGTGGATCAGCAGGTGAGCAGGAAACACATTTCCCACAATGCAGCTGCTCTTAAGATGTAAAATATTTTATTGTTGATGTTTGCCCTGAGTTTGGTCTGTCAAGCTGTCTGCAGACAATCCTCAGGAGTCAGTACGTATTTATATGTATTAACATTATTTACAGTTACTGAACTCAATCAAATTATTATTATTGATCCACTCTCTAAAAGAGATTCAAATCAAGAATAGATATTGATAATATTTAATTACTAATCTGATCTGAGAACAGCATGTTGATAATAATAACAGCTGGAGCCTCTGTGTCTTATAAAGCAGCTGATGTCACAGTTTTGAATTTTCTTCATATATTTCCTGTTTTATTTTGTAATATTCCTGTAATTTTCACTTCCTGTCTTTGTTTTCCCTCCAGATTATTTTTACCTGTGTGTTTTCATTTGTTGTTCTCGAGTGTAGCTGGTTGGATTATTATTATTGTCATATTGTTATATTGATTATTATTTTCCCTGCTCATTTTGATTTGAACCTAAGTGCTACCGTTAAAGGGGCGTGTTTATATAAAGGGGTGTGTTCCTATAAAGGGGCGTGTTCAGCAGAAGAGTTTTTTCATAATGTCCAGTGACAATCTGAAAAGGATATGAGGAGTTTAATCTGATTGTCCTGAGAGAGAATCCATCAAAACCATGATTTTAAGGAGGTTTAAGCATTCTGTCAGACTGTGGAGAGGAACCGGACACGATCCAGATGTTTCCAGATGTTTCTCACCTAAACCAACCTACACTTTATTCAAACAAACATCAATTCATTTCTTTCTTTTAAGTGACAATGGCCTGTTTCCGTGGCAACCGGGAGGAATTTTATGGAGAAGTCCTCCTATTGGACGAGAGGAAGATGACACTAACGGCCGAGCAAGGCATCAAGGTGAGCGAGAATGTCAGTTCATTCTTTATATCAGACGTACTGAGGTTGGTCTCTCCTTCTCCTTTCTTTCAGGTGACACTAATCTTTTTGTGTCCTCAGAAATCTTCGAAGGCGGCGGCCATCTTGCAGCAGGTGTTTTCTCACCTGAATGTGGTTCAAGTCGAATTCTTCGGTTTGAGATTCTGTGATAACAAACAACAGACGGTTTGTGTTCAAATCCATTCAACTTTATTTATATCATAGAACTCAGGATGACCCACCACGAGACAGACAGAGAGAGAGACAGAGAGAGACAGAGACAGACAGACAAATAGACAGACAG